AAAAATACGTTTTTTGCTCAGGACAGTGAATTGAGAACAAAATCTCATTCAGAATGAGTTTCAACAGGGGCAGGTAAACGGAGACCCTTTCCGTATGCAATGTACTGTAGCCAAGACATTTTTAATTCCCTGGAGTACAGCGTGTGCTGTCTTTCTCCCTTTGGCACAGCAGGGGGCGTACCAGAGCACTTCACTGTGCAATGTCTCCTACTCAAGCGTACAGTACCAGCATCCCACCCAGCATTTGAACCTGTGACCTTTCAGCCCATGCTGCTGTCAACAGGAACAATCAGAGCAATCAGTCATGGAGCACATTTATACTTGGAAAGTGTGTTCAAGCGGTTATCCTGTTCAGTGTGTATCTCGCCCTCACATGAAAACATGTGTTGGATGAAACTGATGGATGGACTTGTGATTAAAATCTATTTCACAAAATATTGACCAACGGCAATGAATAAAAGTGTTGTGGGAATGTTTGATCTTATATCCCTGAAGTATAGACGTCGTTTTCCAAGCCAGGTGCCCAGAGCAGCTTTCTGGTAATACCACTGCACTGCTGAGCCTCAGGTTTCTCAGCAAACCCCATTGGACCCTTTCCACTACCCCCAGCTACTGCCTATTAGCCCACCTGCAACGAACAATAAACTGATTAATTATTCTGCCAATGGCGGCTGAATATTTAGACACTTTGTGTGTGAAAAGCTGATATATTGACTTATTTTGTTCTACCCTGTTGAGCAAAATAAATCATTGTCAACATTTTTTCTCTTTTTTAATGGGTACGTTGAGATTGTGTCTTTCTCTTTTTCACAGTTTGACAATTTTAGCATCCAAATTGCTGTATTTCATTATATTTGATCTAGAGTAAAGGAAATAGCTTTAAGGTTTCTTTTTGAAAAGTTTTACAGAAATATGCAGAAAACAAAAACATGTATTGATGAGGCTGACTACATCTGAAATACCCCAGTTTGACTGTTAATATTGAGAGTCTTCTGGGAGAAGTATCTTCGTCATTGAGCAAAAACAAAGTCTCAGCTAGACCAAATACAAAACAAATCTAATTACTTATATTTATAAATCACAGGTGCTATTAGTGCATCTATTTTTGTCTTTTGTTGCAGTCATTGACTACGCAAAATCACAGTACCAACACAGCATAGCACATTATGTTTTCATTATGTTTTCAGGAAAATGCTAGAAAGCATGAATTTGGAAGGGAATCTAGATGTACTTGAAAATAAATTGCTGTTCTGGAGCCTACAGTAGCAGGAAGGCTGCAGTAATTGCTCATCTTCATTCTGCTGTCCATGACTGAGTTCAAACTGGCATCAAGCACATGGAACCATGGCAAACAGTGACAGGGACAAAACATTTTGGTTCTGTCCTCTGGTTTTACAAAAAAACAACACTTCCGCAGGCTCACTCCGACACTGGCAGCTCCATGCACATGGACAGCATCGGTGCGATGAAGGGCTCACTCCCTGTCCTTCTTGAGCTGCTTCGAAGGCAGCGGCCTTTGTTACTGAAAGGCAGTTTGTCCCACTTGAGTTCTGAGCAGAGCCCATGCATCTGCAAGGGGCCTTTGGAGTAAAATGGACAAGTCAGAGTGAAAGTGAAAAGATAATGAAATTATTGAAGTGGATGAAATGAATTGAGTAGGACCAAGATGTTTGTTTTGGTGTTACAACACTGTTTACATGAAAAGCAGAAGTGCTGTATGCCTAATGTGTAGTGTCATTACATTAACCCTTTAATCCCACTAATGTGTGCATTTTAAAAAGAAAAACTGTTTGTGGAGAAAATAAGGAATCCATAGTTACCAATAGAAGGTGCCTCAACTACCCACTGGAACAGACACAGTGCCAAGCTTGTAAAACACAGCTGATATCGTATACAGCAGCAGCCCACTAAAACACACATTTTCAGAGGAACGAAACGCATGAGAGAGAATGGCCTCATAATGTCACACAACGCACCCCGGTTCTTCCACGTGGCGGAGCACAGATCCCTGCAGCGCGATCACGTCCCACCCCCGGGAGCAGACCTGCACTCCTGCCCAATTCCAGCCCCAAGGAGTGCGGACTGAGCAGCCACCACAATGCCAGTGTTGTCAGGATTCATTCCAGTCTGCACAGGCCTTCAGACCGACTTCCGGAGCCTACAGTCTGTGGCTCCACTGGCAAATAAAGTCCCTACTTTTACTGCACCGGTCAGCCATACATTTCTGTGACATCCTGCACTCTGCTGATTGGACGGGTTTGTTTTTCAGACTCCCGACTTTTTACATCTCCCTAAAGTCCACTCTTATGACAAATACATAAGTAATGAAAAAGTTTAGATAGTTCTTTTTCTACTGAGGCACTGCCTGGGTGATGTGCTTTTACTGGTGTATTTGTGGTACAGTATGTGAAGCACACTTTGTGTAATGTGAACTTGTATAAGGAAGGATCCCCCTGAGTGATACTCCATCTGAGAGCTGCTGTTCTTTAACCTCTAATTCACCAATGTGTGTCCCCCAGCCTCTCGTATTCAGGCGGCTGCAGGGTGCTGCTCTCTCACAGCCCAGAGGTGCTTTAGAATCATTATCAAGGTTGTAAACTTGGGTATCTGTACCACACTCTACAGGTCTAAGTTATTCAGGAAGAAAGATGAAGAGCTCGAGAGCTGGATAAGGATATTTGTAATGACTAAAAACACAAAAGAACACGTGCAAATAACATGTTTTTTAACTTCAAGGTATCTACAGGATAAGAGCAGATAAAATTCCGAATGACTTGCTTGTAAGGCTTAGTATAACTGCATTTTATTCTATGTACTAGATGGGTCCTGCCAGAGTGCCCACAAGGAGGACTGGAGCTCTGCTGGGTCCAGCTCCCTGAGAAAAGCCCAGCCCACGCAGAAGACACGCTGGGGGTCTCCATCTCCAGGCTTGCCTGGGAGTCTCGCAGTCGTCACCAGGACAGGTGTTGGGACAGACTCCATCCACACCAGCGTGTCCACAGAGAGCAGGTCCTTCCTTGGAGCAGTCCTGGAGCAGTTTTAGTCTTTCCATCTTCCGCAAGCTGAGCTGAAACTCAGCCAGCACCTCAGCACTTCAAAGAAGCCTTGTCTTCCAAAAGAAAGGCAATTTCAGGCTAATCAGTGCTTGAATCGTCATTGAACCAGCTAATTCTCGGTTTCGCTGAAGGATCCTAAACCTCTATTTTGTCTCTCGGCTCTCATTTATTTTAGTTCTATTAATTATTTTCACAATACAGTCTTTTTAGTTGAATTGTGATTTTGGTCTTTTTTAATTTAGAATTTAAAAAAAAAACCTGAACAACAAAATGAGGAACTTCCTCTGAAAAGACTACCAAACCAACTATTCTGACTCCATATTTTTGTACGGAAGAAACAGAAGTTGTCCTTTTGTGTCGTGCTTACTGTGAAATCTGTAAAGATATTTTCATGTTTCAACATCTACACACTATTAAGCAGCGTTAATCCGCATCTTCTCCAAGTGAGTCATTTTTGCGCTTCCTGACTAGTGAACTGACGGAACTGCTGTTCGCTAGACGTCTGTCACGGTATTTTTATCTCAACAGTATGATAAAAGAAGGAGCTCTATGGAACAGAAAGTATTAAAGTGGTACCTGACGAAGAAAAGATGGTTGTGAACTGTTATTATTAGTAGCAACCCTAGTGACAGCAGTCACAGTAATAGAGTGTCGCATTATCTAAAATCATAGCATTATATTGCATAATACCATACCAACCACGGCCCCTTTTGTTAAATCATCTTGTGGTTTTCACGTTTATGGCAGCTCTGCGGCATCGAAATGGCACTACCGCTGCCCTCTGACAGCAGCACAGCCTCCTGGAGCCCCCACTCTGTCGGTACTCTTTGGTTCAACGCCCCCCGAGTATTTGGCAAGGTAGCGTACCAGCAGCTTTTTCGAGCCCTCAAAGATCTGTGATCGATCGTGAAATTATTTCTATTCTGGGGATTTTATTTTCTGATTTCTACGTGTTCTCAGAAGTAACTTGCAATAAAAAGATAACTATTTAAAAACAAATCCATGGAGCTGAATGATTCCATTTGGGCTGTACTGAAAATGTGCACATACAGTAAAAGACTTTTGTTTCTGTGTTTTCTTGCTACAACTGTACCTGTAGATACTTTTCATTCTTTTTAGCTGAAGAGACAGGTCGCTCCATGGCGTATGTACACACTCATGGTCATTCCACGATATCACCTTACTAGTGAATACCTCTAACCCCTGATTACACCTGCAACGCACTTCAGCACTGATTCCACTAAACATCCATAGCTGTTCATAGCAATATCATGGGCCTTTTGTCAGACCACAAACTCAATTGCATACCGAAATTTAGTTTGCAATCAACTGCAGATCTATCAAGAATATGTACTTTTTATTAACTAATCATTATTAGTTGAATTTATTAATTACAACTCTTACAAGAACACTATCTCCAAATTCCAGTGAACTTAAAAAGCTGCATGTGTCTCTGTTCCCTCCCCACAGCTTACGTTTGATACTACAGTATAAATGAACAGAAAGATAAAATTAAATTTCAAATGAATGTTATTTTTATTCTGCCATTATGGTTGAAAGCGGCACACGTTCTCAGCGCCTAGGTCTGGAGGAACATGAGGCAAGATGATTATTTTTTTCTTATTTGATTTTCACTGCCTCTTCTTTCTTCAGGTCTTTTTCCACAAGCTTACAGCAGTAAAAAAGCCACTGGGCAACACCAAATGTCCATCCTTACCCTGTGTGACACACATTGTCTTCTCTTCTCTGTGTACGAAACTGTGGCAGCCAATGCACATACTGCACGAGCCACAAAGTGTTGAGAGCTGTGAAAAACTAACCAACTGCAAGGAGAACAATCATTCTATCAAAAGCAATGGCCACTGGCAACTTTTAGAAAGTGCAAAAGCAGCAACAACGCCCCACCAACAAAGATTATATTGCAGCAAAAATGACCAAACGTACCTGTTCCTTCACTGAGGCAAGAATGGCAGAAGTTGTCTCTGTCTCTGAACCATCCCCATTGGAGGCATTCAGTACAGGGCTCAGCATGGCACTCTTCTCAGAGTCAGAAGGCTGGTCTGGAACAGGCATACCTCCTCAGCTCCTGCAGGGGAAAAGCAAAAGAAAGATCTTCTTTTTCTTTCTTGAACATTTTCTTTGAATCTTTTCAACACACACGCACGCACGCACGCACGCACGCACACACACAAACACAGCACTCTGGGATTTCATTCCACCGGAGATCTAAGTCCATGACATACTGTAAATTATCCCTGAAACGGCACAAATGTGCAGTGCAGGTTAGGAGAACACCC